CCTTTCCTCTTTGTTCCTTGGGACTTAAATCTTCCTCCTTCCTTCCTTCCCACCCAAAGTCCAGGGTTGGGCTGCGGGGGGGGGGAATGTGGAGGAGGAGGAGTGAGATAGAGGGAGGGAGGGCCTGAGGAAAGGGCTGTCCGCCCCGCCCCCCATCATCCTCTCCTCTTGGCAAGGGAGTGGGGGGGGTCTCCTGTTTCCTCCTCCCTTTGCAGAATTTGAAAGTTTTTTTGGGGGTGAGATAAAGTGGTTTTTCCTCTTGTGGTGTCCCACGGAGGAGAAGAAGGTGGGCTGGAAAGGCCTGCCTTTTGTCCTCCTCTCGAGGAGACCCTGCCAGGCTTCAGGGAGAGGAAATCCTGGCTGCTGCCGGTCCAGCAGAGGCACCAGAGGAGGCCCCCCCCCCCGGCCTTTCTGGCGGTTTTTAGGATCCAGGCTCTGATTTGGAGGAAACGCCGGTTGTGGTTGTCTCCTTGATTAGTAGCATTGGAGAGGAAAGGTCCTCCCTGGGAGCCTTTCACACCTTCCACTCTGTTGCCACTCTCTTCTCTGGAGCAGGAAACCAGGCCAAAAGTTCCACCAGAAACGAAACATTAACAAGATAATTTAAAATATTTTTTTGATAGAAAAATAGCCTGTCCTCGCTAGAGAGCAGGAGAGAAGGTTAGCCCATCCTCCAGGGAGAGAGGTCAACCGCATGGAGGTACTGATGCGAAGCAGAAAAGGGTGAAGCTTTGTTATTATTGTATTCCTGAAGGCTTTCATGGTCGGGATCCAATGGTGGTTATTGTGTTTTTGGGCCATCCCACACACTGCACCAGAACACATACTGAGTTCTGGCTCCTGTCCTCTGAAGATGCCAGCCACAGAGACAGGCAAAACGATAGGAAGGAAAACCTCCAGATCGACCCATTTGTTGCTGTTGTTATTATAATTTATTTATTTAAACAGGAACATGAAAGGCAGACAGTGAAGAGGAGAGGCAGCTTATTATTCCTTCCAGAGCGCCCCCTTTGGGCATCCGTGGGAAACGTGCGAGAGAGTTGATGTTCCAAAGAACTTTTCCAGAACTCCTTCGCTGGACATCCTTCTCTGCCCGAGAGACCATTTTAATTCTACTTTATCCTCTGCTTGTCCCCCAGAAGCCTCCTTGGATTGGGGCCTTAAAGCGTGACTTCTCAAGTACCGCACTTTCTCCAAGTCTTTTTCTTTCTCTGCCTTTCCCTTAGAGAGAAGAACATGGCCCTTTCGTCCTCTTGTCTTGGAGGAGACGGGCGTGCAAGCCTTTGTCGGTCCTGGGAAATAACCCGTTGACGTCAGAGGTCTGGTGCAAAGAGGAACTCTCAGCAAGAGCAGCATAAACCAAACTTGATAGGGACTCAGAGGTCCAGAGAGCAAGCAGTTTCCGGGAATTTTGCTATCAGGAGGATGAGAAGCCTTGAGCATGCCTTCTGAGGGCTCAGGTGAGGCCTCAAACAATCCTCATAGTATGAAGACATAGAGAAATTGGGGTTTTAAAAAAATCACTTAAAAGAATGATAGACGTTTTGGATTTTCTTAAAGCCAAATGGGTATAAGGCGTAACAGTATACAATAAGATCTGTATCATGCTATGTATTCTTTACTAACGAGGGGTTAAAACTGGAGGGCCATGCACCTGTGGCTAGCATAAGGACCCACTGAAAGGGCCCTCTTGGTCACCCACTTGTGCATACAGCCTGACACCTGAGCAGTTTGTACCCAGTTCCACAGTCTTTGCTGTCAGTAGTTAGGAAAACATCCAATGACTCTGTTGCTTGATTTCCTTATACTGGGAACAGTTCCAGGCTGTTGGAGAGCTTGGTCAGAGAATACAGGGCAGAATTCCTTTCCAGAATGATGTCACTGTCCGAAGGGTTTCCTCTGAGCCAGGTGCAAGAGCCTCTGGGGAAGAATGTTGGGTCTTCCTGAGGGACCTATTCTCCTCTGAGAAAGCAGGATCCCCACGGTTTCTAAACCTGCCATCTCTTCCTGGACTTTAACGTTGTTAATTTCTTTCTCCGTTCCAGTGTTGGCAGCTCCGTTTTGTTTTGAGTGAAGGCGTATTTCGGATTTTGTTCACCCGAGGCAGAGGCCTCTCCTCCGGAGGAACACCAAAGGGAAAGGAAGGAGGATCTGCTTTTCCAGGTAAGGAACTCATCAGTGTTCTCTGGTTCTCCTTCTCCTAGACTTTCTCTTGATTCTCTTAGATCTTCTTGGGTAGGGAGTTGGACTAGAAGACCTTCAAGGCCCTTCCAACCCTAGAACAATTCTATGATTCTCTGGTTTGAGGAATGGCATTTTGATATCTTATGTGTTTGTTTGAAAACCCATGGTTTTGTGTGTGTGTGTGTGCACACCAAAAAACGGCCATAAAATTTTAGTAGCTTTGAAACTTCAGTGCTAAAAAAATGGCTTATACTGTACAAGTTTTCCAGAATAAGAAGGCAGCTCTGGCGGAGCGAGGTAACTGAATTCATAACTTTTATTAGCAATGGGATGGTTTTGTTTTTTCGAATTTGTAAACAGAAATAGGATTGTGGTGGGTTTTTCGGGCTCTTTGGCCGTGTTCTGAGGTTTGTTCTTCCTAATGTTTTGCCAGTCTCTGTGGCTGGCATCTTCAGAGGACAGCAACTTGAAGAAATAGGATTGCTGTAAATAGTTGACAGATGATAATAATACTGTACAGTAGGACCCCAGTATCTGTGGAGGATGGGTTTGAAACCTCCCCTTAGATACTGAAAAATGTGGATTAGGGTGAATGCTGTACATTGCATGATCTCTGGAACCCTCTAGTGACCAGTTTGTGTAACTTTATTTTTAGAAATATGTTTCCTGGTATTTTTTTAATATTTAAAATATTTTCAGTCCACAATAAGCAACTCACTGATACTGTGGATACGGTTATCATATTGTGTCACCTGGCAAAGCAGCTACCATGTTCTCTAGACTCACAAAGAGAGTATGGCTTAATAAACTGGCGACATACACCAAGATCCAGGTCTATATACAGCCTATGTCCTGAGCACACTCCTGTACTGCAGTGAGTCCTGAACCCTTTGTGCATGACAGGAGAGGAAGCTGAACATCTTCCATATGCGTTGTCTGCAGTGCATTTTTGGTATCACCTGGCAGGACAAAGTTCCAAATGGAGTAGTCCTAGAATGAGCTGGAATTTTTAGCATATATACATTGCTGAAACAGTGACGTCTACGTTGGCTCGGGCATGCCATGAGAATGGCTGATGGTCGGATTCCAAAGGATTTCCTGTATGGAGAATTAGTGCAGGGAAATTGCCCCAGAGGGAGACCCCAACTGCCATACAAGGAAATCTGCAAGCGGGATCCTAAGGCCTTAGGAATGGACCTCAACAGATGGGAAACCCTGACATCTGAGTGTTCAGCCTGGAGGCAGGCGATGCAGCATGGCCTCTCCCAATTTGAAGAGACCCTTGTCCAGCAGGCTGAGGCAAAGAGGCAGTCCCAAAAGCAGCAAAATCGGGGAGCTGGACAAGGGACAGACTGTATTTGTCCTAAGTGTGGAAGGAATTGTCACTCTCAAATTGGCCTTCTCAGCCACACTAGATGCTGTTCCAAGTCCTCCATACAGAGCACGTTACCATAGTCTCTCGAGACTGAAGGATGCCTACTCTGTACTCTGTACCCGTAACTTGACTTTCAATCAAAAGCAGTGGATGGTTGGGGTTGCTCTGCTGAGTCTTGGCACAGATAGATATTTTTCCAATTTATTTATTATTAGTTTATTTATTTAACTTGCCTTCCACCCATTGAGCCAGGCTACCCTGGGCAGTTCACAACATAATCAAACACAAAATATCACTACAAGTATAAAATAAGTTCCAAATATAAACTATCATGAAATGTAACAGGGTTTTAAAATGAGAGGACTTTGAAATATTATATATTTAAATGTTTAAAGTGACAGTACAGTTATCTTAGGACTGACCATTTCAATGGGTTTCCACTGACGAAAATGCCTGCCTAAAACAGCCAGGTGGTTAGAAGTTTTTAGCCAGGGAGTTCAGGCTGTTTCAGTAATGTATACATGCTAAAAATTCCAGCACGTTGTAGGACTGCTCTATTTGGAACTTTGTCCTGCCAGGTGATACAAAAATGCTCTATAGACCTGGATCTTGGTGTATGCTGTCAGCTTTTTATTAAGCCATATTTTCTTTGTGAGTCTAGAGAACATGGTAGCTGCTTTGCCAATGCGTTTATCCAGCTCGACATCTAGAGAAAGAGAGTGTGTCAAAGATCATTGAGCCAAGGTACACGAAATCATGAACAACCTCCAATTCTTGTGTGGAGATGGTAATAGAGGGAGGTGAGTCCACACCCTGGCCCATGACTTGTGTTTATGGGTAAGGTATATGTATATAAGGTATAAACAGTGTTGAGAATGGCCAGCCAAACATCCGTCTGTCTGGCCATCCAATGATCCAAGCAGGAGGCATTTCCTCGAAGCATTCAGGCTTCATTGCATCAAAGAACAGCAAACGTTATGCTTGAATTTCCTCCTTAGATTCTTTGACTGGCTTGGTTGTGTGAGAATATTTCATATTTTTTTTCTGTGTATCGCAGAATGCTTAGAGGGTAAGAAATACTTTTAGCTTTATGCAGTTTTATCCTTCAGGACATTGATGTATTCCTGAACTATGTTATATGCCCTTAGAGTGTCTAACCTCCCGTATATTTAAGCATTTGACTTAAAATATTATTTTTGGTATTTTATTGTACTCTTGATCAGCGTTCCCTCTAATGTGAAGTCCTGGGGGATGGGGGTCCACCTCCTACACAGGGCTCTGCCACAATCCAATCCAAAGAGGCTGGAAATACTGGGTGAGCAGAGGAGGAGGGGTGCTGCACGGAGGGGGGCACAACTCTGCACACCCATACAGCTTAGAGGGAACCTTGCTCTTGAGCCTATATTTGTTGACCGAAGCACATGTTCACAGTTTAAGTTTAGTTTTCACATATTTTTAAGATGTTGTGATTACAGTTATTTCTATGACCATAAGACCGTTTCGTTGTTTTCCGGTTTTGAAGATTTCATGTTCCAGACTATAGAAGCCATGTAGAGAAATAAAGCCTGTAAAATTAGACCATCTAAAGTTGCCCTGAATGACCCAGATTAATTTTGAAGTACTGGTTAGTGCTCGTCTAGTTTCATTCTGGGATCAATCCTTCAAATGCCAGCTTCAATGAACAGAGACTTCTGATCTTCCACCAGGAGGTCAATATATCTCCTGGAGGAGTCAATCATTCTTTTAAGGATCTGACATTTTGGCAAGCTAGCAAGTTACGATCCGATAATCTGATAAAATAAAATGAAGAGATTCTTCTGTACTAAGTTTCTGGACTTGAAAAAAAATGGGAAGGGAGACCCCTTTTCACTAATAAGAAACAGAAAGCAAAGGCTTAAGAAGAAACATTTTTTCCAGTCACCCTATCTTGGTCTCCTTTATAGATTTTGGAAATAAGCTGGGAACACATCCTAACTCATATTTTCTCTGTGAAGAAATGGAGACGGCATCTGTCCAGTCAGAGCAGGTAAGAGAGAAGGAATGGGAAGAAGAAGCAACTGGGACCCAAAAGAATCTGTCGCTTTTCATTTGCTCTTGTCTAAGCTACTAAAGCGTATTGATGTCCATATTTGGATTTTACTTGAACAACGTAGAGCACTTGTGATGCCTGTGAGAATAAAGTTTCCTTTTCTTTCAGGTTGCAGAGGTCCTTCAGGACCTGATGGTGTATTTCTCCAAGGAAGAGTGCGCTCTCCTGAATCCGGGCCAGAGGGCTCTGCACATGGAAGTCATGGAGGAAACTTTGGTCAATGTGGTGTCTCTGGGTAAGCTTTCCTTTTCTGTTCTGTCCTCTTAAGATGAACCTCATTGATCAGGGTGAAACTAAAGTATTATCAAGTGCAAAACTCAAGACACACCAAATGGAAAATATAAAGAAAAGTGGTTGTAGGTTTTTCGGGCTGTTTGGCCATGTTCCGAAGGATTTCCTTCCTAACGTTTTGCCAGTCTCTGTGGCCGGCATTGTCAGAGGACAGTTCTGGTGTACTGTGTGGGATAGTGTGGTGGGATACAATCCCACACACTACACCAGAACACAGAGAGAGTTCTGAATCCTGTCCTCTGAAGATGCTGTCCACAGAGACTGGCAAAACATTAGGAAAGAAAACCTTCTGAACACGGCCAAAGAGCCCGAAAAACCTACAACCACCATCGGATCCCAGCGGATCCGGGCCATGAAAGCCTAAAGAAAAGTGTTGGGAGCACCCAGAGAATGAACCCATTTATTTCACTTCCTGCTTTAGTGGACTGTTATTGTTGACTGGAATTACGAGTGCCTTAATTTACCTTGGATAAGCATCAGAACCTATAATCAGCCAGATTTTTGCCTTCAGTTTCAAGGGATTTAATGTTGACATTACATTTTGGGATATTTCCATTCCTGGAGGTGCTGATATCCATTGATAGTACAGTGGTGCCCCGCATAGTGACGATAATCCCTTCCAAAAAAATCATCGCTATATGGATTCGTCGCTATGCGGGCCAAAAAAGCCCATAGGAATGCATTAAAACACGTTTAATGCATTCCTATGGGGGGAAACTCACAGTTATGTGAAGATCCTCCATGCGGCCGCCATTTTCGCTGCCCGGTAAGTGAGGAAAGGGCGCGAAAACACTGCGGGCGGCTATTTTGGCCATTTTGTAACCACCGATCAGCTGTTTAAAAAAACATTGTTATACGAAAATCGGTAAGCGAAACGCTTACCGATCATTGCAAAGCGATGTTTTACCATTTACAACATCGTTATACGATCGCTTTTGCGATCACAAAAAAACCATCGCTATGCAAATTCATCGTTAAACGAAACGATGGCTTTTGTGATCGCAAAAAAAAACATCGCTATGCAAATTTGTCGTTAAACGAATCGCTCGTTATGCGGGGCATCACTGTATAGTTTCTCTGCAAAGAGTAATAATAATTACTTTGTTAATATGAATAAGCATACATGCATGTTTACCATTTATTTGTTAACATGGATAAACATGTGTATGTAAATTAGATATTTACAGGTCTGTCTTAAGCTAATGCTACAACATAGAGTCATGTCCTTTAAGTGAAGTTAATCACAGTAGAATAAAACTCAAGAAGGAAACACAAGGCAGAAGATATTTCCCCCTAAGTTTCCTGGATTCTCCTAGGTGTTTCCATGTTGGACTGGTACTGCTGTAGCTCCTTGCCAATAGATGGTGATCAGGGTAAACAAAAGTCCATCTGGCATGATCGCAGCTCGAAATAAATATTCAGCAGGTAATTTAGTGGTTACAGAACTCCAGGTGGCAGAATTACCAATGGCAACAACAGAATTCAAAGTTTATCTAGACCTCCTGGATTCTCCTAGGTGTTTCCATGTTGGACTGGTACTGCTGTAGCTCCTTGCCAATAGATGGTGATCAGGGTAAACAAAAGTCCATCTGGCATGATCGCAGCTCGAAATAAATATTCAGCAGGTAATTTAGTGGTTACAGAACTCCAGGTGGCAGAATTACCAATGGCAACAACAGAATTCAAAGTTTATCTAGACCTCATGTTCAGTCGACAACAGAATTCAAAGTTTATCTAGACCTCATGTTCAGTTCTTGTGTCAACTATAGGTTTTGGAAAAATTATAAAGCAGACAGTCAGTATTTAAAATGTTTTATACAGCCCAAGTTTAGTGTTAAGGAAGTTACTCCAAGTGGGGGCTGCTTCTTGGAGGGTAATTATCTTGGCAGGAAGCTGTCCTGGGTCCTAGAAGATCCATGTTCCCAGGAGAGATGAAGGTCTGCATCAGAATGTTTTGACTAATTCAAAACATCACGTGTATATAAACAGAGATTTCTATAATGTTTTGCGAGGACATCTCCGAAACACTCAGCCACCTGGTTTTTACAAATAAGCAAGAAATATCTGCTAGGAAAATATTGGGTGAGAAGTATCTAATGAAATGTGACATCTTTGCCATGCTTGTAGTTATACAGTGGTGCCTCGCATAACGAGCGCACCGTTTAATGATGAATCCACATAGCGATCTATTTTTTTAGATCACTAATGCGATCGCATTGCAATGTTTTAATGGGTAAAACATCGCATTGCGATGATCGGTTAGCGTTTCGCTTACCGATCTTCGCATTGCGATGTTTTTGGAACAGCTGATTGGCGGTTCCAAAATGGCCGCCGGGTGCCCAAAATGGCTGCCGCAACTATCTTCACACCCTGCCTTCGCTTACCGAGGGCGCGAAAATGGCGGCGCTATGGAGGAACTTTGCTGAACGGTGAGTTTGGGCCCCATAGGGGCCCAACTTCGTTTAATGTGTTCCTATGGCTTTTTCCGTTCCGTTTAGTGATGTTTCCTCATAGCGACGATTAATCCGAAACGGATTAACGTCGCTATTCGGGGCACCACTGTACTTTGAAAAAAATTTTAATAACAATTTGTTTCCATTTTTGTTATTTTTTTAATAACAATTTGTTTCCATTTTTGTTTTTAAGTGACTGAGTGACTCTTAAACACTTATTTTATTAGAACCAGCATTTCTTGTTTGTGTGTGTGTGTGTGTGTATAATCCTTGTGTATTTGTGTGTGTGTATGTATATGTATATATGTGTGTGTTTGAGTGCTTATGTGTGTGTATGTATATATACATACATTTGTATGTATATATACATACATATACATATGCATGTATGTACATATCTGTATATATACATTCCAACATACATACAATGTATGTTATTTGCATATATGTACTAGAGGAATTTGTAACAGAAGGCTGATTTTTGAAATATATACTCATCTAATTTGTACATACACTCCACGTACATTTTAGGCGTTTAGTTACTTAACTGGTTGCTAGCTAAACAAACCTTTTAAAGAAGAAAAGAGATAATTCTTGACTTTTAAGACAAAATACTAAAAGAACGAAGACTTAAATTAAATGTAACAAGGCACAATATCTTCCAAGACCGTAAATAAATTTCTTGTCAGATGTGTGAAGGACACAAATCTCTCATAAGTAGCCTGTTGATCAGGAGCTTTATGGAGACATTCAGATTTTCCCTCGTGGAAACTGACACTTGGCAGCTTGGTGACTTCCTAGCTGTGCTTTGAGGATAATGGATGGAAGAGGTTCCTTACATTTGCACCTGAAATCCAGGATGATGGTTGTCAAGAGCTGAGGGGGTAGCTTCTTTCAGTGTGATGCATGAACTCAATCACATTACTACGGAGTTGGTAATCGGACAGTTTTGGTAGGGTCCTTCCAACGGAGTCATAGTGAGTTTGCTTTGTGCAACACTTTCACGTATGCCCAATCTTCAATCCAAATTAATCAATTAGAATTAATCCAAAGGCAGTGACAGGACTGGCCTGGTTCCTTAGACAGCGCAGTAGAGACTGGTGAAGGATAAACCTGATATGGTTTATAAGAGCATGTCAACAATCCAGCATAATTATTCTGCTTATATAAAAATTTTCAAAAAAAATGAAAGAACTTTACACTCATTTGATCTGTGTGGCAGGTATTGGAATGGCGCTGGGAACATGCCCTCCCTCATCTCTTCTAGCTGGAGGGGCCGAAACAGCTTCTACACAACCCGATCTAGTTGGAACAAGTCGGTGGATAGTCGTTCAGTGCTTTTCCCCCTCGGAAACACTTCAGAATGTGAAGGTATTAGTCCTGTTTTTCTTTTTCCTTTGCCAAGGCTGGCCATTAAGAATGCTGACAGAGTAGACTGTTTAGATGGGCGGGGTATAAATCTAAATATTATAAAAAAAAATAAATATTGTCTATGGTGGGGAGGCTTGAGTCTTAAATCTAAGCACCTGTCTCATGGATTGCTCATAATTATTTTCTTTATACTAATGAATTGCAGTAGACTTCCCTCTTGAAGCTGAAATGTTTTCCTTTTCTCTCAGAGCGTGATGATGGCTTTTGAGGATATTGCTGTCCATTTCGCAGAAGAGGAATGGGCTCTGCTGGATAAAGACCAAAAGGCTCTGCACCGAGAAGTCATGGCAGAAAATGTAGTCAGTCTGATCTCTCTAGGTGAGCTTTGTCTTTCTGCTCCCTTTGCTTCACAAAATGAATTTTACAGATGGGACCAAAAAAAAGAAAGAAAGAAAGAATACCACGTGCATGAGAGTTGTCTCCTGCATAAGTCTGCTGCATAAAATGTACATTTGCTATGGTTCATTTCCAGATTGTGATTCTTTTTTTTCACCTCGGTTCCACTTTGATTTTTTTTTCTCATTTCAGCTACTGGTACAAGAGAAAAGAGGAGCGAGGAAGAAGGTGGTATAGACATGGATGAAAAGCAGAAAGAAGTCTTAAAAGGCAGTACAGCTCTGAGTGATAGGAGAAGCCTTGGTTTCCATCAGCAACTCCATCCAGCAAAGAAAATGTTGAAATGTTTGCAATGTGGAACGAGCTTCAGTCAGTGTCTGTCTCTTGTCTCCCACATGAGAATCCACACAGAGGAGAAACCCTTTCAATGCCCGGAATGTGGGAAGGACTTCAGTGAAAACACAGACCTTGCTTTCCATTTAAGGCTTCACACAGGAGAGAAACCATTTAATTCTTTGGAACGCAGAAGGAGCTTCAGTCAGAGTTCAGACTTTGCTACCCATATAAGAACCCATGCAGGGGAGAAACCCTATCAGTGCATGAAATGTGGAAAGAGCTTCTGTCAGAGTAGAAAGCTCGATTCCCATATGAGAATCCACACAGGAGAGAAACCGTACAAGTGCTTAGAATGTGGAAAGGGTTTCTGTCACAGTGGAAATCTTGCTTCCCATGTGAGAATCCACACAGGAGAGAAACCTTTTAAATGCTCGGAATGTGGAAAAGGCTTCCGTCAGAGTGGAAATCTTTCTTGCCACATGAGAATACACAGAGGAGAGGAGAGGTATATGTGCTTGGAATGCGGAAAGAGTTTTAATCAGAACTCAAACCTAGTCTCCCATATGAGAATCCACACGGGGGACAAACCATTTGAATGCATACAATGTGGGAAGAGCTTCAGGCACAACTGTCATCTTAGTTCACATCAAAGAACGCACACAGGGGAGAAACCCTATCAATGCATGGAATGTGGAAAGAGCTTCAGTGTTAGCAGTAGCCTTCGTTCACATCGACGAACTCACACGGGGGAGAAAAGTATCCAGAAAGGGGAAAAGCCACATGAATGTCTGGAATGTGGAAAGACCTTCTGTCAGAGTGAAAAGCTTGACTTCCATATGAGGATCCATGCAGGAGAGAAACAATTTAAATGCTCGGAATGTGGGAAGGGCTTCCGTCACAGTGCAAATCTTTCTTGCCATATGAGAATACACAGAGGAGAGAAACCATTTATGTGCTTGGAATGTGGAAAGAGTTTTAATCAGAACTCAAACCTTGTTTCCCACATGAGAATACACACAGGGGACAAACCATTTAAATGTGTAGAATGTGGGCAGAGCTTCAAGCACAATAGCCACCTTAGTTCCCATCAACGAACTCACACGGGGGAGAAACCCTATCAATGCACGGAATGTGGGAAAAAATTCAGCCACAACAGTGCCCTTCATTCACATCAAAGAACCCACACAGGGGAGAAACCATATCAGTGCATGGAATGTGGGAAAAGCTTTGTTCAGAGTGGCCACCTTAGTTCACATGAAAGAACTCACACAGGGGAGAAACCCTATAAATGCCTGGAATGTGGGAAGAGCTTCAGTCACAAGAGTCGCCTCAGTTCACATCAAAAAACCCATGTGAGAAGAAAATCTGGCAAGGGCTTCCATGAGGTCACAGACCTTGCTTCTTAGAGAAGCCACACAAGGAGAAATAATTTGGATCAGGAAATCTGGGAAAGCTTCCAGTCCGGTCACCCATCTTACGACCTGTCAAAGACTATTGGAGGTGGGGTGAAATTGTCCTACATATATACATAGAAAAGTATGAAGTAGAACATACAACTGTCCTACTTCATAAACAGAAAAAATGTTACACAGACCTTGCTTCTTAGAGAAGCCACACAAGGAGAAATAATTTGGATCAGGAAATCTGGGAAAGCTTCCAGTCCGGTCACCCATCTTACGACCTGTCAAAGACTATTGGAGGTGGGGTGAAATTGTCCTACATATATACATAGAAAAGTATGAAGTAGAACATACAACTGTCCTACTTCATAAACAGAAAAAATGTTAGGTAGAATAGACATTTCCATAGTCTGAGCATTTTTTCTAGAACGCAGGAGGAAATAATGCATTTTGCAGCGGTAGTAGGGAGGAAAAAACACAAACAGAAAATAATCAAAGGGAAATTCAAGCCTAGATTAGGAACACTGAATGACCAACAGGGAAGCACACCAGGAGAAAATCAAGAGAAGATGGATGAAAGGATGACCGATTTCTTTGAAAAAGAAGCCTATGATGAGGAACCTGCAGTTCTAGAAAGTGAAATGAAAACTGCTCTGAAAGGACTAGGAAGAAATAAGTCACCGGTGCAGATGGAATACCAATAGAATTGTTTCAAACCACAGAGACTGGATATATCAAAATACCCACAACTATGTGCCAACAAATATGGAAAACAAGCAACTCTCCACAAGTGGTGCTTTCTTGCTTTTAAATGTGTTTTAGTATTGATTTTATTTACCATTTTAATATAATACTTGTTTAAATCTTTTAAACTTTTTTAAAATATTTACTGTACTTAGCTTTTAAATATTGTCCTTTTAATGTTGTAAGCCATCTTGGGTCCTTTTAAGGAGAAAGACGGGGTAAAAATATTTTAAATAAATAAGTCTGGAAATGCTCAATATGCATTCCAGTACTAAGAAAGGAGATGTTAAAGGGTACACTAACTATATGGCCATTGCTGTAATTTCCCATGCAAGCAAAGTGATGCTCAAGGTGTTGCAACAAAGGCTCTTATTGTATCTGGAGTGAGAAATGACTGACATTCAATTTGGATTCTGAAAAAGAGGCACTTGCAAATATATTCTGGATATTGGAGAGCCATTACTAATTAATGTCAGAAAAAGAGAATCCTATGCTTTAGAGTCTACTGCAAAGTAGATCAGGGGTTTCCAAAGTATGGCCCACAGTCCACATCTGGCCCACCTTGCCTTTTTATCCAGCCCGTGCATGCGCAGTGGTGTGTGTGAGAGGGGGGGCTGTGCATGTGTGTATACCCGCCCTGTCCCCCTTGTGCAGAGGGTTCTGCGACAAACGGAACCAAACGTTATCGTTGTACGGAGGGGGAAGAATGCTCTGTAGAGGGAGGTGGAGTTGTCCATGCATGTGCCAAGCTTAGAGGGAACCTTGGGTGTGCCTCAGCACTGGATTGTCCTGATGCATAATCTGTATTGTGGACGAAAAGCTATGGCGAGGAAAGACTATGGAGAGACAGAATGGTTTCCTATAGGCAAAAGAATCAGACAAGGTGCATTTTATCCCTTTATCTGTTCAGTCCGTACACAGAACATTTTATATGAAAAGCCAGATTTGATTCAGAGGGAGGACGAGTGAGAATTGGTGAAAGGACTATCAGTATTTTCAGATATGTAAATAACACCATCCTATTGACAGAAAGCAGCAGTGACCCATGGGAGGCCCACTTCCCATTGTTTTTCTTTTTGTCCCTTCTCCCTTATTTAATGGATAGACTTCTTCCCACTTCTATCTTTTGGACAGGGCCTTTGTTTCATTTTATTTATTTATTTGCCGTGTTGCTTTCTCTTCTTCCCTGAACATCTTTTGGGAAGTAAGCATGGAGTCTTTCTTGGAAAACCTCAACTTTATCGTTTATCTTTTGATTTTAGAACAGATATCCATGTTAGTCTGTGCAAGCATTAAAGGTGGAAACAAAATTGAAGTATAGAATAAAAGAACACATAAAAAACATTAAAATGTGGTGGTACCTTAAAGACTTACTGTGAGCTTTCACGGACAAGTCAATTTTGCCAGACATAAGAGACTTGTAAATTTACACATGATGCAATGTATAAATATTTGCCATGTTATACAGTGGTGCCTCGCTTAGCGAGTGCTTCGCTATGCGATGAATTCGCATAGCGAGGGGGTCCGGGCCATCGCTGGAGCGTTCGCTCAGCGATGGCCCCTATAGCGGTTTTTCGCTTTGCGATGATCGCTAAGCAATTCGCTTAGCGATTTTCGCAGAACGAAGCGGGGAGAACAGCTGATCGGTGGTTCCAAAATGGCCGCTGGAAGGTCCGCGCTGCATTTTCGCGCCCTGCCCTCGCTTACCAAGGGCGCGAAAATGGCGGCGCTATGGAGGAAGATCGCTTAACGGTGAGTTTTAAAGCCATAGGAACGCACTGATCCGTATAGCGATCCCGAAAAAGGGGATCGCTATACGGATTCGTCGTTATACGGTGTGCTCGCTAAGCGAGGCACCACTGTATAGAATAAAAGAACATATAAAAACATTAAAATGTGGTAGTATCTTAAAGACTTACTGTGAGCTTTCACGGACAAGTCGATTTTGCCAGACATAAGAGACTTGTAAATTTACACATGATGCAATGTATAAATATTTGCCATGTTATATTTCTTTTTCTTACGTCTTGTCCGTTTTGTATAATACCTTTATTTTGTTTTTACTTATATCTTTTTATTGAAACTATAGTTGATAATTGTGAGTAAACTCTTCTTTCTTCTAAAGATATGAGCCCTGTCTCTGCAGGATCAGTATCTGTGGTTTCCATTATCCATGGTCTGAAAATATTAAAAATATTAAAAGAATAAAATCAGGAAAAAAATTTCACATGTATTACCAGTACTAGCCACTAGACTGTGCTATGAATGTATGTTTTTTAAGAATATATAGCAGTGATGGGGAACCTATGGCATGCGTGGCACTGCTGGCACGCAGAGCCCCTTCTGCGGGCATGCGAGCCATATGTTGCCAGATTGCTCCTTCCCTCCCCCTACAGCCAAGCCTGAGGAGGCGGCTGCAGTCGCAGTGCTCGCACTTCAGGCAGTGGGTCAGAATCCGGAGCAGCTGGTTCTGGCAGCGGATCCAGAGTGGAGTCTTGAATCACCTCCGTGCCCTGGATTCCCTCTTCTGCTGCCACTTCCAGTCCCACCACCTCTACTTCCAGTGCTGCTACCGATGCTGACATGGCACACTGCCTGCTGTTTCCATGCACCGCCACTTTGGGCGCTCAGGCCCAAAAAGGTTCGCTGTCACTGAGAAGAATATATAGCAATGATGGGGAACCTATGACATGCGTGGCACCACTGGCATGCAGAGCCCCTTCTGCAGGCATGCGAGCCATATGTCGCCAGATTGCTCCTTCCCTCCCCCTACAGCCAAGCCTGAGGAGGCGGCTGCAGTCGCAGTGCTCGCACTTTGACAGGCGGTGGGTCAGTATCCGGAGCAGCTGGTTCTGGCAGCGAATCCAGAGTGGAGTCTTGAATCACCTCCGTGCCCTGGATTCCCTCTTCTACCACCACTTCCAGTTCCACCACCTCTACTTCCAGTGCTGCTACCAACACTGACATGGCACACTGCCTGCTGTTTCCACGCACCGCCACTTTGGGCGCTCAGGCCCAAAAAGGTTCGCTGTCACTGATATATAGTATGGTCTCTGGTGCCTTCCTGTGTCCAGTTTTGGCATTGCACATGGAAATAATTTTTCTGCATTTTTACCCCTTTAACCACACACACAACCCATGGATTTGGGCGTCGCACTGTACTTCTAGAGTAAACCTTGTATTATGAAATGGGGCAGTCTCTGTGTCGGGGGAAATTGGAATTAAATCCAGCCGTGGATTTATTGATTGATTGATTTGATTTGTACCCCACCCAGCTGGTCTATAAGACCACTCTAGGTGGATCCCCATGCCAGCTGGGGAATTCTGGAAGTTAAAGTCCAAAACTTTTTCTAGGCTTAGGTAAATTGTAATCAGTGTACAGTGGTGCCGCACATAGCAAGCGCCCCGTTTAACGATGAATCCGCCTAGCGATGTGGATTTTGCGATCGGAAAAGCGATCACATTGCAATTTTTTGGATGGCTAAATATTGCATTGCGATGTTTAGAAAACAGCTGATCGGTGGTTCCAAAATAGCCGCCTGCAGCGTTTTCGCGCCCTTTCCTCGCTTACTGGGCAGCGAAAATGGCAGCCAGATGGAGGATTGCCGCATAGTGGTGAGTTTTCCCCCATCGTCCGTTCGTTTAGTCGTGTCCGACTCTTCGTGACCCCATGGACCAGAGCACGCCAGGCCCTCCTATCTTCCACTGTCTCCCGGAGTTGGGTCAGATTCATGTTGGTTGCTTCG